CCTTTTTTTTTTTTTTTTTGGACCAATGCTCCATGCCAGAAGGGTTGGAATTATGTTTTTAGAAAGAAACAATCCTAAGGTCACCCTTTTAGTTTTACACTAAGGGCCTTTTATTAGAAAAACCAATATTTACCAAATTCCAGATATCCATTTTAATTAAGCCAGCAATTTGGGAGTGAAGATTAAGCTTTAGTCTTTAAAAGGTCAGTTTTCCAAACACTCTCTTTACAGTCAAATTTAAATTTGCAGCTAGAGACAGAGCCTTGTGTCATGCCCTACCAAAGGACATAATTCATTTTTGAATCTTAATGACAGTCTGAGTAAACCTTAAAGACTCTAATCCCAAACTGACCAGAATTTTTGGTTATAAAAGAAAACGAATGATCCTCCTGAGAAAACTGGAAGAAATCCAATAATAAAAATTTCCTGTGTTCTCCAAGAGGCCCAGAAACCTCTATGTGAATATTTTCTGCTTTAGTCCTAGCTCAGATTCCACACATCTAAAATTACAACTTATAACTTTTTTTCTGAGTGACCTAAAAGCATCAGTGATATAAAATTAACCACCAAGAAATTTTCCCAAATAGGGGGTACACAAACATTCTCCTGAAAAGCCCATGATGCTCAACTCAGCTGGATCTTACCCAATCAAAAGATAGCTATGTAACATCTGCCGCCGCCCCCCCCAATTTAAGTATGACCTTTGTAAAAAATAATTCATTTAAAAGTAACTCCTTTAGTCAAATGAAGAAAGAAATTAGCAGAGAACCTGGGGATTCTTTTTGTGCTATGAGCACGGGGAAAATGGGAGAAATGAACTAAAGTATAGACAAAGCTCAATGGAACCCAGAGATCTGGGCACGAAACGAGTTACTGGTGAACACATTGCACAAGTAACATGAGAAAGCAGAAAATGCAGGTCATACATGCACCCCTGACCCAGACCAGCAGAGCTGGCTGCAGCATCCGTATCCAAGGGAAAGATCAGTTATTCCTAAGAAGTGAGACAAGCAGAAGAGCTCTATAGAATAAATTAGCATAGAGGGGGCTTTCCCAACAGTTCAACTTTCCCTCTCACGCGATTCACCTACTTAAAAACCAGGGCTTTTTCTCACCGTCATTCGCTTCGCATCCCTTAGCTTCCACGCAGGGGGAATGGGAATTCATAAAGGGTAAATTTTTCTGCCTTTAAAGATATTCTCAAATGATCGCTCTCCACGCCCAAGGCTGGGAGAACGACACAATCTGGCACAACTCCAAGCTCGAGCCCTACAAATTCAATAGGACTATTTCAGAGATACTGGGGGCAGACGCCACTGAGAACCCAAGAATGTGAAGTGGGGGTGGCGAAGGTAATGTCTTTAGTGTGGGAAAGGAAGCAATCATCTGAGATGGGGACCCGAGAAAGAGAGGGAAGGCGTCCAGAAACATTATGAAGAGGAGACAGAGGCCCCCATAACGACTGGAGTTGTCACCAGGCCGCGAGAACCGGGTTAGGG